TGATAATTGGGGATTGCCTTCCCTTTCTGAGCACACTCATCCTTCCCATACCAATAACTTTCTTGTTTTTGACCTCTTTTCTCAAGGTAGATGGGATTTCACTAAACTTTGCTTTATTGTGTGGGAGTTGAATGCATATAACTACTATTCACACTACCCCTTTCCGCAGGGATTACTCTGTGTGGAAGAAGACTTCTTCTCAGTCAGTTTGTAAGTTGATATATCACTTTAAACCCTCATCCTGATTGGTTTTGGGGAAAATGGATTTGGCATAAACTCTTCACTCCCTCTATTTCTTTTTTTCTCTGGCGCTATTTCTCCTCCTTACTGCCTCTTGATGACATTCTGAAACTGAAAGACCTTAGATTGACATCAAGATGTGCTATGTACAAAGTCTCGGAGGAAGGTTCGAGACATATTTTTTGAGTATGCTTTTTTTTTAGATGTCTGAAACATTTTGGGTTTACACTTTGGTATCCTCTGGACTCATAGGGGCATTTTAAGTACTTATTTGTGGGAGTGGAAGGCTTATGATGATAATGAGGGAGGTTTTTCCCTTCTTTTGCTTGTCCTTTGGTTTATTTGGGCTACTAGAAACAACCATAAATACAACTCCCCTTCTCCAACTGCCACTATTACTGTTTCTTATGTGTTGGCCTATTACACTAAGGCCCTCAGGGCCTTTACCAACATTGTCCCTATCGGTTTAAAAGCTAGGCCCCCTCGGTTAATCAGGTGGGCATGCCCTGCTCCTGGTTGGGTGAATGTTAATGTTGATGGCAGCTGGAATGCGATTTCTGTTGCTGTTGGGGGCATTTTTAGAATTCTGAGGGGCTTTTTATTTGCTATTTTACATCACCTGTTGCAGCAGATAATCCCTTAGCTATGGAGTGCTGAGGGTATATCTTGCCTTAACGGTGGCAAATGCTTTCAATTTTTATACTATTGCGGTGGAAACTGATTCAAAACTTCTTTATGAGATGTTATTTGGTGTCTCTTCACCTCTCTGGGATATTATTTGCACTCTCAAACGTATTCATGCTTTAATTACTGATAGCCACCTGAATGTTAGTTGGAGTTTCATACATAGGGTGGGTAACTCCCCTGCCGACTGGTTAGCCAGGCAAGTAGGGGATGTGTGCACTTTTGGCTTATCCCCCCTACTCCCCTTAGACGTTTAATTACTGGGGACTCCTTGAATGTCTTATGTTAGAATTTGGCACATACTTGGTGCATGGCTCTTTGGCTGGGTCCTCTGTTTCTTTTCTGCTGTTTATCTTGCACCTTCCCTCTTTGCTACTCTTTTTGTTTTCTGGTAGGTTCGGACCACACTCTTTTTTGGATATCATTATAATGATCTTCTGGACTCTCTGCTTTGCTAGATCTCTGTTTTGCTGTACTTGCCCTGTTTAGATTTCTTGCCAGTGGATCACCTTCCCTGTTAGCAAAGTCGTTTGCTTGGAGCAACCTTTTATCTATTTTGATGGCTTCCATAGCCTTAGAGAGCTTTTTGATGCCAATCTTTTAGTTCTTAATTTTTTACCTGTTTTTATTTCCACACTTACACAGGTATACTTGTTTTGAGTTTTGTTTTTTGGCTTGGGTATACTTGTAATTTTTGGGTTTTGTTTTGGTGTGGGTGGTACTGTGGGAGGAGGAACCCCTACGGGTGAGTTGAATATATTATTTTGGATTTTTAGATGGGGATCCTTCTCCCCTCCCTTATTTTGTACATTTTCTTAATATTAGCACGTAGAGAGCCACCGTTGCTTTCTAAGGCCAAATATTGCTAAATAACAGCCACCTACTATCCCTGTTGAGAATATGCAACCCGATCCTCTTCCCAACACCGCAGTTCCTGAAGAAGAACAACATACTAGAGCTACAGATCCAGTTGTGCTTATACAGCCCATTGTTATTGAAGAAAACTCACTCACATGCCAAGACACACGAGAGTGCTCCTTTGATCACATAATAGATCAGCCGGTCAACATGTAGTTGCTTTCAATGTCCAACAATTTGCACATCTCTAACACACTGTAGACCAAGGTTAGGTGAGTCAATCTTCGGAAGAGAAATGACAGGTCTATTCTAGGAGGAAAAAGAAGAATGGAGGCCGACTCCAGCTCAGGAATATATTGGATGATACATTGGTTACCACTGACAATGACAATCATCTTACCAACTTATTAGCTTGCTCCTTTCCTAGAACCAGAGGTAGAGACAAAACCAAATTGGGTTGCTCTCTAGCCACCTGATACTATGTATTTCTGCATTTTTAGGGTTTTTCTTTATGTCTCTAATGTACTTTTCAGTATTTGTGGAACCCCTTATTCTAGTTTTGGAACCCCTTGTGGTTTTGTTGTGAGCAGGGTGCCATGTTTGGGCTCTCCATCACATTGTATTTGTATCTTTATTTCTAGTTAATACATTATATTAACCTTTTTGTTCTTTCCATCTCGGCTTTCAAATCTATCTGTCTATCTCTCTCTCTCTATCAATATATCTATCTATCTATTAAATTAAAGTTTACTCTTATTGAAAAATTTCAGTGGGGGCATCCACCTATGGAAGTTATCAGAAAAAGTTTTGGTGATCTCAAATTAGCAGGAAAGTGGAAAGTGGGGCTTATAGATGTGAGACATGTATTGATTCAATTAATCGTGGCTGAAGACTACACTCGGGTTTTCTCACACTCGGTGTTTCTCGAAAAAATATCTCAGCATTGCTGGTAAATCAATGAAGCTACTCAGCTGGTCTCCTGATTTTGACCCTAATTATGAACCTCCTACTGTACCGGTATGGTTCAGTCTATCAGGTCTCAAGCTGCACTTTTTTTATCATCAGGTTCTTTACTCTATTGAAACTATACTTGGGGACCCTATGAAGCTAGATCTAACGACTTTCCACCTAATAGACATTCTGTGACCAGAATACTTGTGGAAAGATATATTACTTTACCTGATGTTACTGAGGTCTGGTTGGGCACAACTCATAATGGATATTGGCAAAAAATCGTCATGGAGCATAGACTGTTTTACTATTCTCATTGTAAGATGTTTGGGCATACAGTTGATAAATGTCATAAGTTTCATCCTAATTTGAAATCTAAAGATTAAGTGAATAAAGATGGATCTAATCCCACTACTCTGGACATATTTGTTTCATCTTGAGAGAAAACTATCACAGGAGAGGTTTTGGATATCGCTAAAGATCAGTCACCTACCATCCCTGCTGAGAAGGTGCAAGCCGATCTTTTACCCAACTTAGCAGTTCTTGATGAAGAACATCATACTATTACTGATCCAAACGTGTTTATACCACTCACTGTTATTGAAGAAGACTTACTTACATGCTAAGACACACGAGAGTGCTTCTTTGATTCAATCAAAGATCAGCTGGTACAACAAGCGGTTACTTCTAATGTTCAACATCCTACATATGTCCAACACACTTTAGACCAGTCCACTGATCAGACGAGTCAATCTTGAGATGAAGAATGACAGGTCTATTCCAGGAGGAAGAATAAGACTAGAGGCCGACTCGAGCTTGGAAACTTATTGGATGATACTTTGGTCACTACTGGAAATGACACTCATCTTACCAATTTATTATCTGGCTCCTTTGCTAGAACTAGAGATAGAGACAAAGGAAAATTGGGCCGCTCTCTAGCTATCTGATACTACGTTTTTTTTTGGCATTTTTTGTTTTTTTATTTAGGTCTCTTGTATTTTCTTTTATTTTCTTTTTGTTTTTTTATTTAGGTCTCTTGTATTTTCTTATATTTTCTTTTATTTTCTTTTATTTTCTTTTTTTTTTTGGAACCTTTTGTATGTGATGGTTATCGTGGGTGAAGGGTGTCATGCTTTTGCCCTTCCACACAAAGATTAAAAAATAACGTCGGCGGCGGCGATCTGCTCTGCTAGGTTTTCGCCCGATGGCAAAATCCTGGTTTGATTCGGCCTTCAATCCACCCTCTCTTGTGCTCGACGACGAAGTTCTTGTATTCGACGACGACTACGAAGGACTTTGCGCTCGTCAATCTCGTTCGCAATCGTCCTCTTCTCTTTTGCTCCCAACGACAAAGGGACTCGGCATCTCTCTGCTGTGGTTTCATTTCTGTCGAGCTGCGGTTAGTAGGATTACTGCGGTTTCGTCTTCCTGCTGCGATGTCGCCTCAGCTGCGGTTTGTCTGTTGAGCCACTACTTCATTTTATATATATTGATATTAGTTAGCCATATGGGGAAAAAATTTTCCCCAAAAGTTCAAAATAATTAAAGTGCTCCAGTTTAAATCAAATTCTTTGAATAATCTAATATTTTTAAGATATTGAAATCGCTAAAATGATCAAATCACTATCATCTAATCAATTCAGTGTGTAACTTAATTTATATATCATGTACTTCTACTTATTTTATTATAATCATAATTATTTTATATAACGTTTTCCTTTTACTGACATGAAGATTGAAAAACTCTCAAATCTCTGATCAAGTTAACAGATAATCAAATGGCTCGATTCGAGATCAGGTTAAAAAACTTTAAGCAGATCTTGCAGGCAATGTCAGATAAGGTTTACAAAAAGCTATATGAGATAACTTAGCGTTTGTTTTTTCCATGCTTTGGGCTTTTTCCTGTTGCTTTTTATATCCATCTCATGAATGCAATTCTAGCGAAGTAGTGTTTCATGCATGGGGATTTATTACTGTGATATTTCAAGGTCAAGGAATCTCCACTTAATTCACTTATAATATTTCTCATGAGCTCTCTAATGTTACTATTTCTTGCTACACTTGGTGTCTAAAACATCATTCAAAAGTGCTTACAAAATGCTTCAGTTGCAACTAGAGTGCAACTCTAATCAAAATCTTGATACAATGGATGTATAGAAATGGCTGGTTTCCTCACACCGTGCATATTTTTTCTTGTTTTAGAATACGTATTATATTATCTAAGTTGCACTGAAAGCTTGCTTATTGTTTAAAATTGATATTTGTAGTTGCGTTCCAGAACTATTCAGATACGGCCTTCCATGATAAAAGTTAAAGCAGATCCAGATGCTATAGCTAGTCAGTCCTTCAACTCCTTTGAGATTGTTGGCACAAGGTAAGCTTACGGATCAAATTGCAGAACACAGTAGCTGTTGAATTTCAATAGCATATGTCTAAATTGTGAATAGAAGTTTTGTGACTTCCTAACTTTTTATTAAACAACCATTGCATATTTTTCACCTTTCATATTATTGAAACAAAAGCGGCTTTTTGGCATGCAAAAACTATAACTGTATAGTTTGCTTGAATGGTGTGTGACGTCAACTCCCTCAGGTTCCCTTTGCTGGGCATTATTTGTGGCGTTGATATACTTGGTCCTTTTTTTTTAAACTATGTTGGCGACCTCCTATTATTTTCGTATAAAGGTAGAATAGATATGAAATTGTTTTTTATTTTAATACATGTGGTACATTCTCCACTGTCGGATTAGATCTGGGTTTTCTTGTCTGTAAATTCATGTTAGTGGACAAAAGAAATTTCATGGAGTTATATGAAAACTCAAGAAGAGAGGAAAATAATTCAAGAACAGAGAAACGATCAATGCTTTTTTTTAAGCCTGAATACAGATACATTATTCATACTTATTTACATTACAACTCGTCTACATATATAAGCATATTAATGAAATAATTGTAAATTACATATCAGAATAGAAAGTTAAATACACATAAATTTTGCAAGACTTAAATGCAACTGATTCGAAACGAAAGCCTGGCCTAACTTTAGATGATATCTCTATCAATCTGGAGTAAAAGAAATTGAGCAGAATTAAGACATTAAATTTCTTATTTTAATTGCACAAATTCTTTCCTTTTAGTTGGATATTTAGTTTAGGAATATGCATTATTAAGCTACCTAAAATAGATTGTATATTTTATTATGTTCCTAAAATAGATTGTATAGACTGTTATTTATTGGAATGAAAGCAAAGGAAAAAGTCATTCAACCTATTTACTTAAAACATTCACATGGTATAAGAGCCACGTCGAATTGTTCTGATCTGAATCTTCGATATCTTCAGAGATAGTCTTTGAAATTGTTCTTCCATTTTCGACTCAGAGCTAATTCATCTTTGCCGACACCATTGACTACTTCAACTGCAAATCGCCGAAGAGTCTAGTTCGTTCGCTCGTCTGCTTCGCCGACATCCTTGCCTGGACTGCTCGTCGCTTCGACGTCTTCCTCTTCTTATTTGGTTCGACTGATTGACATCTTCTTTTGGACCTCTCGCTCCATCTATGCATGGACTTCTCGCTTCGTTTGCTCGTCTGGTTTGCTTGATCGGGTTGTTCGCTTCTCTAGATTGCTTCGTCTGCTTCATCTGTTTCCTATGTTTATCTGTTCATCTATTCGTCTGCTTTGTTTCCTCCTTGTAGGTAGGACTCAACATGATTCGATCTCTCTTGCCCAAATAGCGCAAGATCATGTTCCCACTGAAATAGCACATGATCCTTCTCTGTTCACGCCAAACAACCTGCTTACTCAAGCCCTTGAAAATTTTTATTCTACGTACACCGCTACAGTCACTCGTCGATAATTTTATTTAGAATATCTTCAGAAATTTCAGCTAACAGATTCATCGGAAAGAATTATACCGCATGGGAATTTCAGCTCAAGATGTTTTTGAAAGGGAAGGAGCTTTGGGGTCATATTGATGGGTCTTGTCCAACACCTACAGAGCCGCAAGATCTTGGTTAATGGGCGGCAAAGGATGTTCGGATTTTTTCTTAGATTTTGGGATATATTGATACTCGTATGATGAACAATTTACGATCGTTTGGGACGGGTAAAGAAATGTGAGAATACTTGAAACACGTCTATAATCAAAATAACACTGCAAGATGCTTTCAATTGGAACTTGATATGTGTAATTATAGTCAAGGCAATCTCTCAGTTGATCAATATCATTCTGACTTTTTAAATTTATGGAGCGAATATTCTGATATTACCTGTCAATCAGGAAGGACGTAAATCTGACAGCTACATTAGGATTTTTCTATAATTAAGAGCTTCCTTATTTAAATTATTTTCATTGTCTTTATTCTGATTTATTTCCCTTTTAGTGAATATTTAGATTATGATTATGTATTATTAAGTTTCTTAAAATAGATTATGCACTTTATTATATACCTAAAATAGATTGTAAGGTTATTATTTGATGGAATGAAAGTAAAGGGAAAAGGCATCGAGCCTATTCGGAATTCAGCCTATTTTTCTCAAAACTTTGACTTGGTATCAAAGCCATGTTGTCAGCACTAGCATATCGTTTGTCAGCATCTTCGACTGCTTCCAAGATCCTCGCCTGCTCACCGGTAGCGCTCGTTCGTGTCCTTTGAGTTCCGCGGCATCTTCGTCCGCCTTTGTCTTCTTAGTTTGCGACATCTTCGATCCACAGTGAAGTTGAAGGAAACCCGCCGCTCCTCTGCCCTAGCCTTGATCTTCTCATCGCCTTTACCTTATTTGTGATCTTCTCGTCTGCTCTGCCCTAACGTGATCCTCCCGGATTATCGGTGGTCCTCTTTGTCGCGATTAAACTTCGCCTCTTGAGCCGTACAATCTATTGCTGCAGCACTTCCCTAGTCAGAACTCATCTTACCGCGCCACTTCTCCACTTCGTCGCATCGTTTCTGCCCTAACTGCGACTCTCCTCGTCAACCTACGTTCTCCTCGTCAAGGGACATAGCCACGATCTCCTCTCCTCCCTTTGGCTTTTCTCGTCAACCTGCGATCTCCTCGTCAAGGGGCATAGCCGCGTTCTCCTCTCCTCTCTGCGTCTCTGCCCTATCTGCGACTCACCTCGTCAGCAGTCGTCTCTGCCCTAGCTACGGCTCTCCTCTCTCATGCCGGCCTTAGAGCTTTGGTCCTCTCCTACCCGAAATCATTGAGGAAGGTACGAAATATGTTTAAGCAGCTGCTGATATTCACAAGAGGCATACTCATTTTATGAAATTGCAAGGAGCTCAGCAACGCCATCAGGGGATCTCCTATCATGCTTTCCTTTTAAGCTTTTTGCCACCACGAGTTGCGGCGTTGGTCTGGTTTTTTCTTCTTGCTCTCTGCTCTTTCCTTGAAGCACACGGTGGAAAAGAAGAAATATGTCTTGAATAATTTCAGACTTGATCGATAGATAGATAGATGTCGCAGGTCTGCTCGCCAAGAGATGGAACTAATTCTGAAGTACAAAATCCATTCATTGTGGAATACAAGGATTCTTGGGTTGAAAAGGGATGTTAGGTTGTACTATTATTAGTTCGATTCAGATCTTCTTCGCTAGACATCACTGCTTTTGTGGCATCTTCGATTGTTTCTTACTCCTCGCTTTGTCCACTTTGGCTTCAGCTTTGGCACTCTTTCATGCATCGATGGCTTCGGCTTTGGCAAACCATAGATCTTAGACTTCAGCATTTTCAGCTTCGACACTCAGGTTTTGGCTCTCTCAGGCTTCAGCATTCTCGGCTTTGGCACCTTCGGCTTCGACACTCACGGCTTAAGGGTTTTTGGTCCCGACAATGTTATCAGTATCCTGTTGGCAAATTGATGCTTCATGATCAATTAACATCAATTTGAGGGGGATGTCAAATAGGAATGACGAAAATCAGACAACTACATTCGAAGTTTTCTATAATTAGGAGCTTCCTTATTTAAATTATTTTTATTGTCTTTATTCTAATTTATTTCCCTTTTTGCTGACTATTTAGATTAAAATATGTATTATTAAGTTACCTAAAATAGAGTATGCATTTTATTTTGTACCTAAAATAGATTGTAAGATTATTATTTAATGGAATGAAAACAATGGTAAATGGCGTCGAGCCTATTCAGAATTCAGCCTATTTTTCTCAAAACTTTGTCATTATCTATGTTAAGGTATCAAAGGAGAACTTAGCTATTATTCATCCTATTCATGAAGTGAGTCGCCAGGATCAGTTTTTTATGAAGCTCTGACCTGAATTTGAAACTGCTTGGGCTAGGTTGTTCAATAGAGATCCGGTTCCTTGTTTAGATCTATATGTTTCAGTGAATTACTGCGCGAAGAACAAAGATTGACGACACAAGCCGTTATCAGTGCAATTGGTGAATCATCAGAAATAGTCAATGTTGCATATGCTGGAAAGGAAACAAGGCGGTGTTATAGCTGCAAAGAATTTATTCATATTGCTCTACATTGTAGTAATAAATTCTACAATTATTGCAAGAAAACAGACATATTATTAAGGAGTGGCGGCCCTGCACGTCCTCAAAATCACAAACCACAAGCCGTTCATGCTTGGGTATCCGAATCTCACAATCTTGCTTTGACATCCACAATTGTCGACAAAATCCAATCTGTTTTCACACCAAAAATGGTTCAACAGATGATTGTATGTGCCTTTTCTGCTCTTGGCCTTCAAGGAAAGGTAAGACTATTACTTCTATTCCTTCTTCTTGGTTTGTTGATTCTGGCGTCACAAATCATGTGACTGACACATTTGATTTATTACATAATCAACGCCCGTATATTGATACTCAACATATTCAGGTTGATAATGAAAATAATATTTTGATTACGACAGTTGGTGATATTAGCTCATCTTTTCGATATTTTTTTATTTCTCCTAAATTATTTACGAACTTAATATCTGTTGGTCAAATGATGGATAATAACTATATCGTACACTCTTCTCGTGATGGTTGTATCGTACAGGATCAGTTGTCGGGGAAAGTGATTGCAAAGGGGCCTAAAATGGGCAGATTATTTCCCTTACATCTTTCCATCCCTCAGATTTTGGCATTATCTTCTGCAGTTGAAAATAAAGTCGGTATCTGGCATAGAAGATTAGGCATCCAAATAATATTGTTTTGAATCATTTATTACAAAATGATGTTTTTAGTCATATAGAAAAAGCTTACTAGTTGACTATTCTTCTTGTAAACATCGCAAAATTATGACATTGTCTTTTCCTATTTTGGCAGTTGTGTCAATAAATGTCTTAACATTATTCATAGTGATGTTTTAGGAATTACACCGGTTATTTCACATGCTCAGTATAAATATTGTGACATTTATTAACAATT